CCCAAAATTAGGTCTCATGAGATGAAGCCTTCACCTAGTGGAGTTCGGGTTTCTAGTAGCAATCTCCGTATCCAATGAACTAAGACATACTTGAAGAAGTATCTCGAAGTGTTCAAAAGCATTAATGAACTAAGACATGATTAAAGAAGCATCTCATAGTGTTCAAGGTAATCATGAACTAAGACATGTTTCAAGAAGCATCTCCTAGAGTTCAAGAGCAATAATGAACTAAGATGTACTTAATGAAGTATCTCATAGTGTTAAAATTAAAAATGAACTTAGACTTGCTTAAGGAAGTATTTCATAGGGTTCAAATTAATGAGGAACTAAGATATGCTTAGTGAAGTGTCTCATAGTGTTCTAAGGTTTTATGAGAGGGAATAGTCTCCAACCAAGAAGTATGAGTATGATGACCTAAATGAGTACTTAGTATGGGTAGTATTATGGGGTCTTATCTATGCATTGCACAAGTATGACTTAAGGTTACCTAAGAAGTTTCTCCTATGCTAAGAGGATTTGAGTATGGACTATGCTTATGAATATGTGGTATTTCCTCTGTTATTGGATTATGCCTTATGTTGACTTATGCTCATATTATGCCTATGTTGGAGATTATGCTTATGATTATGTTATTGTCTCTTATGCTTATGACTTATGTTTTATGTTGGCTAAACCTTGTGTTATGCTCCTATGATGTTATGCTAGCTAACATATTTAGTACATTTTGTACTAAGCATACTCTTGCCTACATTCTCATCAAATGTCGGGTCCGGCGATCTTGAGTTCCATCTTTGAGGCTAGGTTGCTAATAGTGCAAAGGAGTTGAAGATTTGGTGAGTCCTCATAGCATCGAGGATAAAAGCCACCATTACCTTTATGTCTTTGTTTTATGTTTTAGACTTTTTGTATGGGCTGCATCCCAAGAGTTATTCAAGTTGTATTAGATGGTTTGAGACAAAGTGTTAAAGACTTCCGCTTGCTTTTATAAAAAACTTCGATTGTAAAGAAAAGTTTAAAAATTTCTGCATCATTTCTATTTACTTTATGTTATGATATGCTAAGTGACTTGTGTTAGGCCTTTCGAGGTCTAGTACGCCATGTTACATCTAGGGTGTACCCCTGGGTCGTGACACTAAAATTACAGTAAGCCATCCTAGGAGACATACCACTTTGGCGGTGGGGGAGGGACTTTGGCGAGGCGCCGACTGGAACAGCGAGCTCAATTTGGCTCGCCTAAAATTACAGAATGCAGGTCATCAGGGATCAAGCCAAAAGGTGAGGAGATTCCACTTGACGGATCGCCAAGTCGACTAAAAGTGAGTACTTTCCCTTTTCTAAATCTGGGATGTTACATGCATATACATGACATGATAAAATGTTACATGATAAAACATGACATGAAACATGATAACTCCGAAAACATGATAATGCAATAACCAAGTAAACATAACATGAATCTGATCATATGATTTCATAAAACATAATACATGGTCACTCATTCTTCTTTAAATCATAATCATAATTATAATATGTGTGATAATAATAAGATTATGTGGGAGATACCGTTAACCGATATAAATCATGTGAGATATAACATGAATTTCAATGTACTTCTCCAACAGAAAAGAGAGTGTCCTACTTGTCAAGGTAAGGACATTAATTATGAGCTTAGGTGGATCCACTAGCTAAAGTCCAATCATGACATAACCTACAGGGGCACATAGTTTCGGACTTGGATAAACACCACTAGTCCAACTTGGTGCTAAATAACTCCCAACGGTAAACAATGCATAATCATACTCATATTAATAATCATAATCTTTGAAATGATAAAATATAGTAATAATGAATCATTCATACAGAGTCTCACAGTCATAAGAATAACTCCTTTAAAATTATGATCTTATAACATACTTATAAGAGACTTTAATCAAACGAATCTAAATCATGATATTCATTCATAGTGAGAGGTACTTCAATTGAAAGCCTCATATTTCATATAAACTTGATGATACTTTATTTGAAAGCATCCTTGATTCATAAATTTTTTCATATCATAATGCATGCATATCAACATAACTTAATTCATGATAATAAAATACTTGCATAACATGAGTTCATTAAAATATCGTTGAAAACATTGAGTTTTAATCAAATCATGCATAATAAGATCAATCACGATGAATAAAATTAAAATCAATTGAACCAATAAGAAAATCATGAAAACTCTAGAATTTGGGTAAGAATCATAAATAAGAATTTGAAGAAAAACTCTAGAATTTGAGGTTTCTTGGGACTCAAAGGGTGGAGAAGAACTATATATTAGTGTTACATGTTGTATTCAGTCACAATTCAATTGAATTAATATCAAAAACCACATGTAAGGTTATCAATATGTTGCGACATATGACCTATTTGTGGTAATTTCAACACAAAATTGACCATATGTTTCAACAAAGTATACATATGTTGCCACATATGTCAATTTAATGGAGGTATTAATTGATAAATTAAGTGATTAATAAGTCTTATTAGACCATATGTTGCAACATGCAAGTCATATGTTTCAAAATTGAGCATATGGACCAACACATTGAGCAATATATTAAGACTTTTTGTCACTTCAGTGAGCATATGGACCAACAAAATATACATATGTTGCCACAGATGCCAAATAACTATATAATAAGGAAAAATAACAGAACTGATGGAATAGGAAAAAATAACAGAACAACAGAATATAGGGATATACATACATTAATATGCCAAGCAAAACAAACAAACTTCATCGTCAAAAAATTAACTATATCTAAATTTAGTTCTACAAAATTTAACTCATAACAAAATTGATGCAATAGGTTCATTGTCCAACAACGAGTGTATGACGCAAAAATTTAACTACATAATCTAGTTCTAAATCACAGCTACATAATTCACAACAAATATCATCTTCATCGTCACTTCCCTTGGGCCAGGCTTTCTTGCGAAGGTTTTGCTTATGTTGATGAACAGTGCAACAAATGGGTCCTTGTCCCAAAACATAAGGCTTTGGCACCCACATTCTACCTAAAACTTGTCGTAAATTATGTCGACATGTCCTAATTTTCGGTGTCTCCATTTATTTCATGTTGGCAATGAACATTAAGCCTTCTTGCATGGATTCACCGCTCTTGAAGATTGAAATTATGGCAAGGGCATATGATGAACCAATGTGACCTATGTCTGTTGCATGTGTAAGTTATATGTTACAATATATGACTATTTTGTTGCGATAGATAAATCATATGTTACAACATGTAAGTCATTTGGTTCAACATGTGATTTACCTATCACAACATGTTAGTCATATGTTCCAACATATACCTTTTTTGTTGCGATTGATAAATCATATGTTGCAACATGTAAGTCATATGTTGCGATATTTGATTTACATATGACCTTTCTGTTGTAACATAAGACTATCATATGTTCCAATATTTGAGTTATTCAACACAAGTCAACTATTGCAACATATATAACCATCAGCTGGAAATGCGAATGTAAATTATTGAAAAAATTGCAGGTATATCCAGATGATTAATAATTCAAAGAACTATTAATTTTACTTACCAAACAATGGTGTGTAAATACAATCACTTATGAAGTAATGACAATTGATATAGAACGAAATCTGGTCCACTGATTAGCTAAATCTGATTCAAGAAGAAGAAGTACAAGGAATAGCAGTCAAGAACAACAATGTACGAACAAGAAGAAAAAGAAGAAAGAGATGAAGAGAACGGGAAGAAAGCAATCAAGAATGAACAAGAAGAAGAAAAAGAGAGCAAGTAACCGGCAGGGGTAGGTATGGGGATTTTGCAGTTTTTATTTCCCCTTTTGGATCCCTGACTTCCCTCCATTTTTGGTTAAATTAGGTTTAGTCTTTTACCCTTCATTTAATACAATGGACCAAACTGTCAACTTAAAAACTTGTAGGCAACTCCCACACATGCCTCATAAATCCTTAATCCTTAATTACATAATTGTGACCTACACTCAATTAAAACAACTTGTGTCACCACCATTTACTTTTGAAACTTTAATGTCACCCTTAATTCAAAATCCTTAGTAAGTTGATGTCATGATGTAGACATCGAAATTTTGTAGCACTCTACAAGACGAGTTCTATTTCAGTTAGGGTTTTTGGAGGCAATTCTACTCTAAACCCTAACTCATATCTATATAAAGGGTAACATAGACATCTCAAATATTCGTAAATTCATGAGATATTCATAAAGAGATCAAGATGTGTCCTCATGCGTTCGAGAAATATGCTACTAACAACTCTTGAATCAGAGAAAAAATACATAGAGACAAATCAAGGAAGCAAAAATATGCTACTAACAACCCTCGAATCACAAAGAAAATACAGAGACAAGAATCAACGAAGCAAGAACCCTCAAATCACATAGGAAACACAGAGAGAAGAATCAAGGAAGCAATGCTTGCCTAGCCACCATCACACAAGGAACGAACAAATTTGTACCCACAATGTTTACTAATAAAATTAAGTTCTTCGTATTTTATTTGTGATTGCAACCTATTTTTTATCACTTGTAAAATTAGTTGCAAACAAATGGTCTCTTAGCTAGCGTTTAGCCCCAAATTTCTAAATATTCTTGACAAGTCATTTTTGGGTGAAGTTTTAGGTGAAGTTTCACCATGCATTTTGACAAATCATTTTCTTTACGAATCCCAAATTCCTAAGAACACAACCGAGTACAATATCTCTGAGAAAATTAAAACAACTTTTAAGTGGATATGATTCAGTAGAAGAGATTTTGTCACAACAGTCATCAATCTCAGCACCAACTATAAGAAACAGAAACAACTCTATACTCGAAGCCATTAGCGGGCTACTAACAACTGACTGCTTATTGTTTGGGGATGTACTAATTACAAGTGCATGAGGTACAAAAGGCATTTCCTAACACTCACCTTTTACTATCGTCTTACCAAGAAATTTCTACAAGCATGATAAAAGATCGAAGCATGTTTTGATCAATGATCAGTAGTGTTTACACAATCGTCTATGTCATTTAGTCATCATCCTCACTAATCAAACAAAACGAGAATGGGGAAAACTTGTATCCGTCTCCCTCATAGAACTTGTTCTGGAATTCTACCCAATGAAGACGCAAAGCATGTAAGAATGCACTTAGAGTTTCCATCACAAGTAGCACACCGACAGTAGCAAATATAAATACCACTATGCCAATGATAAGTATGATGAGATTATTGTACCTGTAAGAAAACATAGGATACACTAGATGTCAGGTCAAGGAAATGGTCTCTTGCTCAAAGAGAAAACAAGGATAATAAACTCTCCAGTTCATATTTATGGGCAAACAAGGAAAAACCTTACCCCATTGCGAGAAGCAGAACTTTGTCATAGAACACACTTGACAGTTCTGAATGTGCCAAACTGCACAGAAACAGAAACATAAAAATCATATACCTTTATAAAAAGAACAAATCTTTAATTACTAGTTAAGGACTAAACATAGGTAACATGAGAACCCTTAGATGATCACCTTCGGGCTACATATATGTATTCTCAACAGCTTCTATCAAATACAATGATCTCCTCTAGACTCGTATGCTCTACAGCTAACAGCTTACAGCTAAAACTTGAAAGCAAACTGAGAAAAACTGTCAAACTTATTCAAAACATCCAGACTGCTATAAGATCAATCATGATTCATGACCTTCAAAGGGCACATCAAATTATCATCAATCAATCAATAACTCCTCGACCCCCACACTAATTGGATCAATTATATGAATCTGCTATACCATTCTGCTCTATTAGCATCTATTCAACTCATATACTAAATAATCTGTCTTTATAGGCAAATTAAGCATTCTCTAAAACTGGCACCTATCCCCACACTAACATATAGGCTGTGGCCAAACAAAAAAAATACCCATGTCAAGCACCTAACCTAATGAAACTATAACAACCAAAATTAGTATGGACTATGAATCCTTGTGTTCCATGCTACATGTATCCTGAGCAGCTTCTATGATATAGAATTATCTTTCACAGGCATTTGCTTTACAGCTAAAAATGGATAGCAGAATAGATATCCTGGCCAGCTTCTCTCATATAAAATGATTTCTTACAGGCTGATTTGGTTTACAACTGAGTGTTGATAGCGAATTGAGAAATGTCAAACTCATTGAGATCAAACCTACAGGATCAATCCAACCGTCATAAATCAGACTTCTTCTTGAAGCTTATTTCATAACTCTTGAATAGATGTGTCAACAGAAGAATGGTTCAAATAGGAGAGTCAATTATTTTGCCTAGCGTCCAGAGGATTTAAAGATGCCAAACTGTTCAAGCTTCTCAAATCATTATTGACAAAAGTTGAAGATCTATCATTCAATCATTCTGGTTTAGCTCCTTTCGAAGAATACACAGACGTTTGCAGCACAAAAAATAAATAAATCAGATGAAATGATTCTCTCCATTACTTTTGCTTGTATCAGTCATACAAAATCAAAGTTTATCAGTAAAACTTTCATCCCTGTTAATCTGAACTTTGACTACTTTCTAGAGTGAATACTGATCAAACATGCAGTCATTGACTAATTGTGAACTAGTCTTTTGAACATCTAACTTCAAAACCGAATACTTATCAACAGAAGTGAGTTTGGACTTTATACATTTGCAAGACAGGAGCATTTATCAACTTGATATATACGTTCATACTTCAAACTTCAAAGCTGGTAGATACACACCTGAGGGCCCATAGACGCAGGTATGAAGCTGTATTAGAGACTGCTCCAAGTACAAATTCTATTGTATGTATGAGCTGATGTACAAAAACTTCACTGAAATCAAATTCTTCATGTCCATGTGAATGATCGTGTGTCTCCAACTCAAACGAGTCATCAGTGCTTTCAAGCATTGCATACAATTGACCTCGATGCCTCTGGAAATTCATGATGTGATAATGAATAAAAGTTCATGGAAGAAGAAGAGCAATACTGGAGAAAATAAGTACCGCCAAATTTTTGGCTGAATTTATAGAGTTTAGACATACTTCCTCATGTTGTTTCTTTAGAAGAAATGGCTTTGGAAATAACATCCATGGAACGGCAACAAGTGCAAGCGATACGAACAAAAGCTGGATCAGAAGAGAAGATAACAGATATTAGAGATGGCCTCTTCTGTAGCATGTTAGATGTATTTATAATTTAAGAAAAATGAAACCTGGAGGTATTTTTGCCCAGGAAAAAGCTGGTTCTCGCCCAAATCATCAGTAGGGCTTAGAAACATGTATATCATTACGTGGTACAGATCAGCTTGAGAACCAGTGCACCATTTGACAATAATAAGAAGTGAAAGATAGCCAAAGAGGCTGTTCAGAAATATTATCTGGGGGACAAACTGATGCCTGAAACATACATGATAATAAGTATAATGGCAGAGTGGCACACTAAATTCCAATAGCACATGAATACTTTACACACATTCAAGGGTAGAAATTAACAAGAACTGAAAATATTGATACAATAGAGGCAAAATGTTATTTATAACTGTGAAATGTCCCGAGACACAACCAAGGAAAGAGGCATGTAATCTGGCTTACCAGACATTCACGTTATTTTGAAAAAACTTTGCGTTGAAATAGCTTAAAATGATTCCAAGATTCATCTGAGCTACACCTAGTAGAATTGACATCTTCATCTTCAAAGAATTCAGAAATGGTAATTCGCTGCGTGAACCATGCCATTTAGGATCCACACCAAATGGATAGGCATCGCGGACCTTGATCAAACCTGTTATAGTGGCATCCCTTCAACAAAAATAACTGGTTCAAGGATTGGAATTGGAGCAATGAAGAAAACAATGAGAGCCTGAACTATTACTTCAGCACCTACCTGCAGGAAGGATCGCGACAACCATAAGCTGATTGCCCAAATATTTCAAAGGGGACAGAAAAAAATTCGTTATATATGAATCCTGTATATATCGAAAACAGAGCCATCATCATAATAATGTAGCGACCGCCAAAAGTCATCTCCATGATGTCCCCAAGCTTCTGTTGAGATAAATCAAATTGAATGAACCTACTGCTCATAAAACTTATTAACTGAATACAAAGTCTATAAAACATGATTTATCAGTGATGCCAAGTCAACGATGCACAACTAGCTCTTAATCTTTCCTGAGCAAAACATAATTTTCCAATAAATTAGCAATCAAAGATGGTACAAATAGGGACAAAGAACTGTAAGACAGATGCATATAACAGCTGGATACTTTTCAGAAAAGAACTTCGGCACTGACCTGACCAGAGAGCTTCCTCTCCCGTAAGATGAAATATAATGTCGCAAGAAACAAGCATATACCATGTCCCCAGTCTCCAAACATGACAGCAAAGAGGAATGGGAAAGTTACTACTGTGAAAACAGCAGGGTTAACTTCCTGATATTTTGCAATCCTATAATGAACCACAGACAAGAGGATCTCTAAGGAAGTGTAGATACCACAGTACTCCAGTCAAATAAATAGTTAAAAAAGCAAAATATTGTCCTGCAAGAGACCACTTAAAAACGACTTTCTCTCATGGTCATGGTAATAAAGATGAGGAAATCAAGTTGCTAGCACAAGAAATGTTGAAAACTGGATGTCATAACCTATGATGCTCTGTCACAAGGATAAGCAATCAGAGGAAACCAGTCAACTGTTCTTTTGTTGTCAACATAAATCTGTGTGTTTATATTTAAATATGTTAAATCAGGAAAGAGACAAGAGAGAACTGTGATTTTCGCCGTTATAAATGAAGAAGCAAAGTTCTTTCTGACAGTGAATGGTAACTATCAAAGATCACATAATGTGTTGTTACCCATTATTCCTTCAATTTTACCCTTATATGAGCACATTGAATATTAGACTTAATTGTATATATGAGTAGATCATATATTAAGCAGATTTAACTGTCTGAAAATCAACCTGTATTGGTTTTAAAAATAGGTGTATTCAGACCTTTAGTTTTCTGGTTTTGTTGAAATTTTAGGGGACTCCGATGCTTTGAGGTGGGTTCAGATTTTTGCATAATGCACGAATCAACTCAGAGAAAATTTTATGTATTTTAAAATTATCTTTCCAAAGTAATAGCTCCCTATGCAGTTTATGGCTGCACACTGAAAACCTGAAGCAATCACACCAGTATATGGAGGAACGAAATTTGCAGAATTATAGTCCGCACAAACAACAATGAAATATCAAGTGTTTAATTGAGACCGAGCATCACAACTCAACTTTCAAGGAAGAAAATGTACTTCAATGAGTGGGTGTTCCAACCTTAAATTCATTTTGAATTTCTTATCCAAGGATAAGTACTCACTTAGGATGTTAATCATGTATGTGGTTAGTTCAATCAGGAAAAATATCAAACAAAGTTACCTACTCTTAACGGGCAAAGCGAGCCCCTTTATTCTGAATTAAAGAATTCAAAATCAATCAAATCTACTATTACTCACCCATATGCATCAACAATTTCTTGGAAGGCAGATGTAAATTTGTTTGTACGGAAATATGTAGGTGGCAATTCTGTGGTATGCAAGACCTGGAATATTGCCCCAACTTGTGAGTTACCATCCAAAGTTGCTCGATGCAACGCATTTTGTATCTGCAAACGTCCAAAGGAAGTATGTTTGACATTAGAAATTACATAATGAACACAAAATACAAAAGTAAATTATATCAAAAGGTGGGTGCACTGCACCTGGCTGGTGGCATAAACTGGGCACCAACCCTCACCCACAAGGCACTTCTTTGTCACATCAAAACTGAGCATATTTAGTGTATGGAAAATGAACTTCTCCTGCTTCACCTTCACAAGTAGAAACGGATGCAATTCAGAGACAATGCAACTCTTGTACACACGTCCAATCAACAAATTTGACCAGTTGAGTAATAAAAAAGTGTGGTTTCATTAAACTAATAGATGGCTAAGAGAAACATAAAACTTACCAGAAGGTTCCATTGGCCAAATTCATAACCAATGGTCTGTAAGAGATTTGCCCGGTGTAGCTGTCCGATGTCTACGGTGGTCTTCAACTCTGAAAGTTTTCCAGATACCTATGAGTAAAAATAGGGAAACAACTTGGTAAATTCAACAGAAATGCCAAGGTATATACCTTGACAAAGAATAGCTGCACATCTGGAGTAACATGTTATGGCAGAAATCCAATTTTTTTTTCAAACGACTGCTACTCGGAAAAGTTAACTGGTATAGAGAGAGAAAGTACATGAATCATTTCCTTAACTTGCATCAATAGCTGATATCGTTCACTATTAGGTTACAGGCTTTATAGCAAACTGACAGGTTGAGTTATGCAAGGATGAAGAATAGTCTTTTTCAAGATTAAGGATAAGTAGAGAAATATCTTTTGAATTGTGAACTAAAAGATCAAGTACTATAGGGTAGTAAAACCATTCTAACAGATCTATCAGAAATCCAAATGGATTTAATCCAGTTGAGTCTCATGTTCAAAATATTTGTCAGCAATAGCATATAAAAAAGTTTGATGAGCCAAATTTAAAGAAAATAACCTTCTAATATATTTGAGATCAGGGTATAAAAACTTAAACTAAATTTATGTTTGGTACTTTTAGATATTGCTTAAAGGAGATAATCATATGCGACGAGTAACACTTATATAAGCAACAATTCTTTTCTTTAACTGATATATAAGCAAGAACTGATTTAAGAGTTCAATAACTAGCAAACTGCACCAATCATACGGTTACGTTGAAGTCCATCCACTCCAAGCATACACAACTAAACCCAAAAGGTAATTTTGTGGCATACCTCCGTTATCATCTCAAACTGTCTGCCTATGTCATCAGTGAATGGATACCGATTTGCTCCAAATGCATCGCAAATTTTTAATATCTTGTTCTTCGCCCTTTCTCCAGAGTAAAAGATAACAAACACATTTTTTTCAACCTAAAAACAAAAATTAATAAGCTCAGAGCACTTTAGGGATATGATTATCTTGGATCTCAATGAAAAAGAAATACACCCAACATGAAAGATAGGGGCAATTTGGTGTCCTTATATCCTTCTCCCTCCCAAGGAGGATTCAGTAGTGAACTTTATACTCCAAACATCATAGCACTTCTATCTTCTAAAATGAAATAGCTGGAAATAAAAACTATGAAACCCCAAATCTAAGCATCCAATTCTCAAAGCACAATAACTTTAAGCGCATGTTGTTCAGACTCTTCAAAAATGTCAGCGTGTCCATGTCGGATTCTCCGAAAGTAGTGCAATTTTGGAGAATTTGACATGGGTGCAGCATCAAAAGTGAAGAGACTGCACAACTTAGATTTAAGCATCATATGAGCCCCTCTCTATTTTCAATAAGTGAAGTACTGGAGTTAACCTCGCTGCCTGACAATGGATCCGTCACAGGATTTTTCACAACCACTTGCTTTAAAAATACATTTCCTCTGGTTGCACGAAAAAGAAATCTTTCAAAAGCCATAGATTTCTCTCTAGCAACAAGCCCACTGACAAATCCCAGCTTAACTTGTTTTGAAGGATCAGCAAAGGCTTCCTGTGTGAAAAGCAAACAAAGTATATCAATTTACAACTACAGTACCTCTACCAGAAAAATACAACACCACCAATATAGCAGTACCTGCTCTAACAACAGAGGACTATCAATTGATCTCTCGCCATGCATGTGCTCCTCCAGTTCTTTCTGTTGAGCTGTAGCACTGTTTTGAGCTGAATGGAAGAACTCACCAGCCTGATGGAACAAAAACAGCTTGTATTTAAAACATCTCTATTATAAAAGAACATAATGCTAGCCAAGCAGATACATTGTGCCAGATAGTTCTATGCCAGAGATACTTTTTTTTTTTTGATAACCGAGCCCGCCCCTCTACCCTTCTCCACTTAAATACCGGGCTTCGCTTTACATGGTTTGGGGATTGAACCTGCGACCTAAGCCACAAATCCTCCACCCTTTGCCACTTGAGCTAGGCCTTGGGGGCTCTATGCCAGAGATACTTAGCATCAATGTAGCCTCACCTTCTGCAGAACAAGCTTATACTCGAGAAGCTCATTGTAAGAACGTTGAAGCTTTTCAGTATTAGTATTCATCTCTGATAAATCAGCTTCGAGTTCACCAAGTTGGACCTTTCCATTTCCATTTTTTTTTAAAAAAAAAAACATGGCAACAATCAGAATCATGGTAACAGTGACAATAAAAGTGATATAAAGAAAATAGCACTCCATGGTGAGCCTTAAATACAAGTAGATAAAATAAGCAGACCTCCAATTCATCCAGATTTATATTTGGGCACATTGTGGTCCTTGTTGAAGGAGTAATCCCTGCCTTCGTCATTTGTTCCTTTAAAAAGCGAAGTTTACGTGCCATATCTCCACATCTTTTAATCTGTGAAAGTAAACCCATGCATAAGTTAACTGAGAATATGTAAATAGAAAGTGAGTTGTATTGGTGCAAAGTTTATCTAAGCTGTGATGCTAGTGGTACTCAGGCAATGTATAAGAACTGAATGAGCATGTCTAGGAAATTGATCAAGTAGAAAGCCAGTGCTGATGAAATGCCTGGCCATTCTGGATTACTTCATTCAGACATTCAGATTAATCACAGAAAGAGGAAGACCACATCTGAATAACTTATAAAATCCTACAGGATACAGATGAAAAAGGTCATCTTTGTGTACTATCAGATAAAAGTGGCTTGTTGCTTCAAATATGTTCTATCAAAAATAAAAATTAAATTAACCTGCTCTATTTTACCATGTTAATGACTTAGGAATCATTTCGTTAGTGGACAAAATTACAGTGAGATTTTGATGCGAGGATTATAACACTGAGATTAATAATCCCTAGATTATTTAGCACTCCCTCTGTCCCATTTTATGTGGAACCCTTTGACTTGACACGGTGTTTAAGAAAAAAAGGAAGACTTTGGAAACTTGTGGTCTAAAACAATCCTTGGATATTTGTGTGGTTGAGATTCATTTAATCAAGGGTAAAAGGGGAATTTTAAAGTTAAATTGTTTCTAATTGTAGTAAGGTGATATTCTTTTTGGGATGGACCAAAAAGGAAAGGGTGCCACATAAAATGGGACGCAGGGATTAATAATGTTTTGTTTAGTTGATTGAGTTAAAAATGAGTATATGGTGTATAGTCAAAAAACGGAAGCACGATGCACTAAAGCTCTTGCTATGCATGGGGTCCGAGGAAGGGCCGAACCACAAGGGTTTATTGTACGCAACCTCTCCTTGAATTTCAACAAGAGGTTATTTTTCCACCTAAGTTGCTCGGACTCAGATGCGGGTGTTTGATACGGTTGCGGATCTAGAGGTCGGATCCTTCATGATCTAATGTTTAAGATTCGGGGATATGGATCCATTTAATGGATACGGGTTCGGGGATTTGGCTAAAAATAATTAAAATATCTAAAAGTAGAGTTATAAAACCTAAATTATGAGATATTACGCGGAGAACTTGAGGAGAATCCTGGATGGAGATTAAAGGAAAATGAGTGACATTGATATTTCTAAATATAAGGTATACCATTTTCTTCTATTTCACCTTAGTTTTTGTATTGATTACATAAATCATTAAAACTGTTCAGACTTTCCCCATCGATTTTGGTCAAAGTACCCAAAATCGGTTGACCAAATCGGACACAGATCTTACACCCACACCCATGTCGTGTCGACACGGGTGAGGCACCAAAAGTGAAAAGTTCAAGCAACTTAGATTTCCACGGCTTGAACATGTGACCTCTTGATCGGTCACATGGCAACAACTTAACCAATTACTCCAAAGCTCCCCTTCAGTATATGGTGTATAATTGAAAATAAGTATTTGGTTTGTAACCCAAAAACTTTGAAAAACTTTTAGTTCTAATTTTAATCTTGGCTTTCTTAAAGGACTTTGGGAAAAGGACTTTGTGAAAGAGCATATTTGTCTTTTAATTGTTTTATCCCAGGATTACTTAACCTGACATTGTTATCCCACGTTGAATGTGGTATGAAAATGTGCCAAGATTATGGTCTAAAATAATCCAAGGATTAGTTAATCCCGAATGAAATATTTCAACCAAACACAGGATAAACTAATCCCACTTTTTTATTTTAGGATTATTTTCTTTATCCCTGATACAGAGCGACCCCTTAAAAGCTAAAGCCCCTAGACGAAGGGTGTAATCCAATGCATTGGTGGCCTCATTAGAAGGTTTATCCTTATATTATACAAGGAAAACATTATTAAGAAAATTCGAGCCAACAAATCCACACTCCAGATAATTTGCAAATCTGGTTCAAATCAACGTGCTGCAATGACTATTACGGCTCCAATAGAAGATGCTAACCTAGTAATAAGCTAGAGACTGGATAACCTACAAATCATATCACTAAAAGCCAGGGAGATGGTGCATCACAATTAACAGCCAACCAAAATTTCCACTTCAGTCTTTGCCTTACAGTTGTTGAAAGTCTATGGCACTAGTGCATGCATTAACTCTATAGAGACGAAAAAATGTCAGATAATAAACCAAATGGCATGATTAGTAATTACTCTTGTTTGCCTTAGTAAGCTTGCGTGCCACTCAAAGGTAGAAGTGGCTTTAAGTGTGAAGCGCAATTGAAGAACATGCTTGAGTGAACAATGCACAAAATGAAGGAAGAAAATTACATTTTACAAGAAAAAATAATAGAAAATTTGAAAAAGAAATTGCAATTGAGCACATCTATGAAATAAAGGCGATGTCTATCTAGTTCAAAATCCATCTATTTCTGAGTCTAGCAGAAGATGGTGTGTTAAGCTTACAATTCAAATTTGGCGTGTAGATTTGTTGCAGTACTAAATTTATAATTTCCTTTCCTATCGCTAACACACTCATCCATAAAAATTTATGAACAATAATATAAAGTTTTGACAACTATTTTTTCCTTTGATGTCGCCCTACACAAGTTTACTTTAGGTCCTATGTATTCTAAAGAGTTTTTTCGTCATGTCAGAGGTTTATATGCTACTCGAAAATATAGAGAACAACTAAAAGCTTTTATTTCTATTTTTCATTTTGTTTTGTGTAGTATTGGACTGGGATGCACTGAAATGGAGCAATATAATTTGGTGTTGTTTTGTCATTCTCTACAAGAAGAAACCCAGCCACATAATAATTAAATTCTTTAAACTACTTTACAATACGGTTGATTGGCTTGTTTTTATTGAGAGTATGCCTTACCACCTTCGTTGAACCGCCACTGAAGAGAAATTAAGCGTTTAACCTATGATAGTGATACAATTTGATAAAGAGTAACAGTGAAATGAAAGTATCAGAAAACGGCTGTAGACAGCCAAAATTTAACTAAACTTATACTTCAATTCCAAAATAAAATCAAAATGGTGTAAAAGAAGAACATAACAAGAATGATAAAACAAACCTGGGTTGCATATGTTCGCTGGAATGGGCTCTTTTCCACATTAAGCTGTAAAAAAGCATTATCAGGTGGAAATAATCATTCCTTTGTTCTAAGATTTTTCAGCAACAGATGACAGACCCAAAGAGAGTCTAGTGCATAATTAAGAAACATAAAATTCCATGAGAACTTGGTGATCTACCATCAGAAATCCAAGATCATCTTAAAAAGGAAAGCAGAAAGAAAGTAAAACCCCTTAGGAAACAGAACTGATGCAGTCATAAATTGTTCCTCCAAGACTAGCTGATTGGAAAAAACATGCTTAGAATATAAAAAGCATAGTCACAGTTGCAGAAAGAATTGAAGCTGGCAATAGATTGATGCCTTCAAAAATAACTTGAAGGTGCACATAGGAGGCAAACTACATGACAGTTTCTTCCCACAAAATTTTCTGAATTACTAAAAGGAATTAAAAGGGGATCTTTCACAGCCAACATTACAGAAGTTACTCTAAGAGAACCAAATTTGCCTACTAAGAATCCTGAAAAAAACAACTCACTCCATTTCAAAAGATTGACATCATCACTTTTTGAGGAACCAAAAAAACTAAATCTACTATAAATTGTCATACATTTTTCCAAATATTTCTCATAACAAAAGAAAACAAATTTAAGTTATTTCTATGTGTTTTAAAAAAAAACTATATCTAAATTCTAAAAACTAAGGACCTTAGAGTTAAGACTGAAAATGAGATGTTTCATGCCTCAATAGGATTTGTAAGGATAGGCCTAGTTCATTGGTGATCAACAATACCTTTTTGTCTAGAAGGAGTTTACTCGATTTGGCTTTGAAGGCCATAGCACCTAGCAAGAGCTTGGAGGTGCTTGAGATGGTATCATGCCAAGGCATTTGGATACTACATCACTGATTGAGACAGTCTAGGTTCTACTATTGTTTCGCAAGTTCTAGTTAGGATTAGTAAGCTAAGGCCTAGAGCCCTTACTTGTACTCTTTCCTCTGGGGTTTGTTTTATTTTTAATAAAAAAAACTAGCCAGAGGCACCCTACCTAGTGGATACACTTAAAAAAAGAAAGGAAACGAGAGATAATTTGACTATCAGGTTGTGAGGGAGCTAAATGTGTTGAAGAGGGTTCAATTGAATCATCTACAATGGAAAATTAAATATTCACTTTTTTGAATTCCCTCGTTAGAACTACTAGCTCCACCACTGCTATAAGGGCCCCTAATCCCGTCATTCTTTAGAATACTGAACAATACAGTACAGCAAAGTCAACTGATCACATTGGTATGCAAAATCTCGCATCAAGTTCAGCCCTTTCAGCAATTAAAAAAATGGCAATATCTAATTAAGTCAAAAGGAATAATCAGAATCAAATTCATAATTCATGAAGTATGTACATTCAAACTCGTATCCGACTCATCCTTCAGCTATGAAACATACGGCAAATTTGATATTCAAAACAAATGATAAAAAATCAAAGGTATATATATATATATATATATATATATATATATATGAAAGATGTAGGGATATGTAAACATTTCATATTCATATGAATCAAATGTGCTTGCTTGATGCTTACGTCTTTGAATTGGAAGAGACCGAGGTCACCGAGGTAAGAAACTGTACGATGAGCGGATTCTAACGGGATAATCAATTGCACCAACTGCATTGGTTCAGATCGTAAAAGATCCATCGTCGGACAACATCCTCCTCCGTCTACCATTGTATGATTTTCTCAAAATGGTTGAGATTTTATGCAAATGTACTTTATGGAACGTATAATGCAGTTTGTTTATACAATTCTTCCGATGAAATTACTGTCGGCGGAAATTCCACCGGCCGATCGATTTCTGATTTTAGCTTTCTCCGGTAGTCTTCTCCATTTGGTTATAAAGTCAGTCGTCAAAGAATCGAGATCTGCATTTCGAAAACCATTTAAATAGGAACTTCTAAACGGCAGCGTTCTAATACAGTTCAATTGTCCATTGTTAACTTTTGAGTTTAATTAGGACGTATTTGGTTATGCGATATGAAATCATGATATGATATGTATTATAATATAAGATCATGAGATAAATTGAAGTTTTGTTTGAACATGCGATATGATATTTTTGTGTTTTATATTTTCTAATAAACATAAGAATCTCATAAGTTGTAAAACTATTGAAATAGCCCTAATTGTTTATTCAATCTTACCAAATAAATAAAAATTTATCTATCTTTAATTGATCAAACTTTAATTCAATAAAAAAATTCAACATAAATTATAGTGTACTAGTCTTTAACTAACATTGTTACTTTGAATCATTTGTTGGTCAATATCATCCGCAACTATATTTTCATGATCATTGACCATAAATATTTAATCACTCATTTGGTATTCTCGCAAATAATTATGTAACACTGCACAAACTATGACAAATTTCACTTGTGTATCAATATCGTAATGATTCATATCTTATTTCACTTGTGTGCAATTATTCATTTTCAATACATTAATTTCTTGCTAAAAATCAAGCATATTGGAATTAGTGATTATCAAACATACATCACCAATTTTTTCTTTTTTCATATGAAATTCTTTAAACATTTTCATATATAGCCGAAAGAGAACGTTTTTTTTATTATGAAAAATCAAAAAAATATTACTCCCTCCGTTCTTATTTATATTCACCAAATCAATTTCTACTTTATTATTTATATTCACCAAATTTAAAGTAATAAAATTATGTTGATGAGAATAATAAATTTCAAAAGTAATGATGTGATTATAAATTTTATTTACATATGAAATAAAATATAAATAGTTAGTTGATATAAATGTGTGGTTGTTTAAACAAAATAAAAACTTATGGGTCAATTTTTGTATTTAAAAATCCCAAATCATGATATGGAATTCTCATATCATGATTTTTGGAGAATATGGTATTCCATCTCATGATATGAAATCATGAGATGGAATCAACGTGAAATCATATGTTCAAACGATGATTCTATCTCACGATCCTATATCGTGATATAGTATCACATGGTCAAACGCTTACTTAATATCGAAATTATTTTTTACACAAGTATTTAAGGTTTATTATCAGTAAGTTTTAATTTTTATTTTTTTTAATATTCTATTCAAATTATAAGTAAGGAAAATACTAAATTGTAGAAGACAACCACGACTTTTTTTTTTAATTGAAAGGTGGCAACCAAGACTCTATATTTACTCTTACCATTTTTTTTCAAATCATAAGCATACGACTTTATTACTAAAAAAAAAAAAAAGAAGGAAGGATTCAATAGTGTATTGTCTTCATTGATGTCAATTTCTACTTTATTGTTGTTTAACACCATCAAATTTTAGTTAATTACAACATCAACCTTTAAAGCAATCAGTAAAACAAACCCAAATAATAACTATCACCATTCTATAACATAGTTCAAACTTTTAATTTTAACATTCAATTTTTTAGTTTTTCTAAATAAATTTACTTATTTGAAAAATACTATAGTATAAGTAATAAAAATTAATAATTTAAAATAATCAGCATGCATATTAAAAACTTGGAATAAAATTAACTCGTTTTGATATGAAAATCTAAACATCATTACATAAATTGAGATGAAAAAATTAACTTCTAAAATTTCTTAAGTATGATTCTACATTCTTTGTAGAATAACTGATAGTAGAATTTTTTGGGAAAAAGAGATATACAATAATTATCTTTTTAACATTGAGAAGAAAAGTATTGGGGGTGAGAAATTGGCAGTAGCAAGGGAAATAGTAAATCCTTAAATTAAGGAGCGGAAAGAGAAAAAATAATAATTAAGGAAATGATTTTAAGAAAATAATGTGCTAATTGTCTATTACCTATTAATATTATCTGTTTGTTTAAAAAAAAGTTTCCATTAATAGTGGATATTAGTTAAACTCTTTTCTTTTTTCTTTTTATTGTAAAAATAGCGGGTGACCCTTTTAAGACCTTCAGAGTCTGTTTGACATTGCTGCTAAAAATTACTTATTTTTTAAGCACTTTTTAAAATGACTTTTTTAAAAAAGTGATTTTGAACAAAAGCAATTTGTGGTTGACAAATTCATTTGAAAAGTGTTTTTAATAAGCAAATCGTGTTTGACGAATTCTTTTTTTTAAGGAGTCACATTACTAAAAAGGGTAAGTACAATGTTCTTTTAATAATAACATTATTTAATAGATAGAAACTATTTTAAATATCGATTAGAATTTTTTAATTAAATTAAAATATATATAGTCAAATTTTCAATCAATATTATACATAACGTAAATCAATTAAATATTAATATAGTATTAACATGATGACTTAAATATAATTCAAAATATCAAGAAAAATAAATTTAAAAATATTTTCACAAATTCAACCACTATATACGGAAAATTCACCACAAAAATAAATAAAGTCTTTCATATTTTTAATACTACAAAAATGTTGTTGTTACATTTATTTTCGATTCTGTAAAATAAAACGTTAAATTATATATAAAATATAAAAAATAATAATAAATAAACATAAAATAAAAAATAAAAATTATTGTATAAAAATAAAAAATAAAAAATAAATTTCTTGAATGAAACATAATCAAACTTATGAGATATGCTAATTAATTAATAAGGGATATATTAGTAAATGTGTATATATGAGAGGGATACTTTAGTCTTCAAGAAAATAATTGTCTACTTCTGCTTCTGCTTTTTTTAAGAAACATAATTTTTTAGCATCTTCCTAACAACAGAAAAACTGCTTCTGCTTCCATTTAAATGGAGTTTTAAGAATTTCCCAAACACTTCTTTTAAAAAAAAAAAAATGTTTTTTCACAAAAAAAAAACACACTTTTGGCCTCCCAACAACGATGCCAAACAGTCTCATATCTCTCTAGCTTTTTCTTGCCGTCTCAAAATCAATTTTATTGCTGATGTTTACAGGCCATACACACAGGGCTAGAATGGCCAAAGGTCAGGCAAAGAAAAACAACAATAAGATTCAGCTCTCTAATGTGAATGTCACGCCCCGAGTCTATCCCTTAGACGCAACACAGAACCTAGGATCACGAGTGACCCTAAGTTAATCCTGAGTCTGACATATCACAAGCATACTGAAATACAACTAAGTAAGCGGAAGCATAACTGTAAAGTGAGTCAAGACTAAAAAAATTTCGAGTGAGAATATAACTGAATAACAATGGGGAACAACCAAAAACCACTTAATACTGACTTTAGGTCTACGAGTACGAGGTAAACCCGTAGTGAAATCAATGTTATCACTTCCCACTTCCACGTAGGAATGCTAATATTTTGAGTCACACCTATTGATTTATGCTGTTCTACTTTAACCTATTGACAATTAGGACACTTGGCCACAAAATTTGTGATGTCCCTCTTCATGCCTTTCCACCAATAAACTTTGGCATAGATCACAGTACATCTTAGTGGCACCAGGATGAATAAAATATCTGGAATTATGGGCTTCAGTAAAGATCTGCTTCCTCAACTCATTCATATTAGGAACACATAAGAGACTATGGTAACGAAGCAGACCATCTCCCCCTTCGGAGAAAACCTCAACTCTCTGCTGATAAACTGCACATTTCAACTAAAGTAATATAGGATGACTATCCTGTTTTTCCTTAACCTCTACTACCAATGAAGATCCTGACCCATTATGAACTATCACACCACAATCTGATGTGTTTGTAAGGCAAACTCCTAAGCGATCAAGCCGGTGAGCATCTTTGGGTAATTCTTTCTTCTCTTCCTTAACATGTGCCACACTACCCATGTATAGTCTACTGAGGGCATCAACCACTACATCGGCCTTACCCAGATGGTATAACACATTCATGTCAGTGTCTTTGAGGAATTCAAGCCATCTCCTCTGACGAAGATTCAACTCTTTCTGGGTGAACACGTACTTGAGGTTCTTATGATTTGTGAACATATCAACATAAACACCATACAAGTAGTGTCTCCAAATGTTTAGGGCAAATACTACAGCTGCAAGCTTGAAGTCATGAGTCAGGTAATTCTTCTTATGAACCTTAAACTGTCTAGAAGTCTAAGCTATGACATTACCTTGTTGCCTCAATACACAACCTAAGCTGACCCTGGATGCATCACAATAAACCACATAAACATCTGAACCATCTAGTACAGTCAAGACAAGAGTTGTAGTCAACCTGGTCTTTAATTCTAAGAAGCTTTCTCACACTCATCTAACCACTGTAACTTGACCTTTTTTTGAGTCAACTTGGTACATGGGGAAGCTATGGATGAAAATCATTCCAACAAACCACATATAGTAATCGGCCAAACCCAAGAACTTTTGATATCAGTCGGAGAGGTGGGTCTGGTCCAGCGTTGTACTACCTCAATTTTCTTAGAATCCACACAAATCCGTTTGTTGGATACAAAATGACCAAGGAAAGCGACTGACTGTAACCAAAATTCACACACTTTGACAATAAATGAGGATATCATCAATAAAGACGATAACAAACAAGTTCAAATACTATTTGAACACCAATTTCATTAAGTCCTGGAAAGCTGCATAAGCATTTGTTAGTCCAAAAGACATAACTACAAATTCATACTGACCATACCGAGTCTTGAAGGTTGCCTTCGGGATGCCACTATCTCTCACTCTGAGCTGATGATAGCCGAATTTTAGGTCTATCTTAGAAAAAAACTAGCACCTTGAATTTGGTCGAACAAGTCATCAATCCCCGTGATGGGATATTTATTCTTGATTGTAACTTTGTTCAACTGACGTTATTTAATGCACATTCTGAGAGAACCGTCTTTATTTCACATGAACAACACTAGAGCACCCCATGGAAAGAGATGCTGGGTATAATGAAGCCCTTATCTGG